TGGCTGCGGGACGCGAGACTCGATCGCGCTATCCGCTACCCGGGCCTCCCTCTGGACAGCCCTCCTGTCCGGGGCCGGCTCCCAGCCCAGAGGAGGCAGGGGTGACGGCGGCGTCCGCACCCATAGGCGGCCTGGGGCGCCCGAGAGCGCTAGGGGTGCGAGCGCTGGACGGCTGCTCAGGGTGGGGTACCGGGCGCGGGGCGCAGCCCAGGCTAAACTGACAGGTCACCAAGGAAGCCCGTTATGAGGAAGGGCTGTGGGTCATAGTAGCAGGTTAATCCTGAGAAGTCCCTGAGCAAGCTCCCTGCGCAAAGCTGTGCTGCGCTTCGGGCTAGGCTGGAGGCGTGCAGGGACCTGTTTCTGCTTCGGCTGGCGCTAGCCGGCCTTGGTTCTCCCTGGGGCAGGAAGAAACTCTGTCCAGCTCTTAAAGAGGACAACAGCACCCCACCACCACCACCTCTCTGTGTCTCGCCTAAGGAGGGAGGGGCGGTGACCACTGGTGACCTGTCTTGTTTCTCCTTGAAGAGAGCCTGACTTACGGGGACTCCCTGTGAAGGGACCGAAGGTTCGCTATGGGGTGCGGGAGGGAGGGATTCTAAAGAGATGAGCTTGGGTGAGTGAGTCAACAGGGAAGCTAGAGAACCCTGGACTCCTTCTCCATCCCTTCCAGTGACGACTCCCCAGGCCCCAGGCTTACCCCCGGCCTTGAGAGCTGCCCCCATCTGATGTGGGCAGCCAGTGGGGAGCCAAGCTCCAATATTGATCTGAAAAGCATGAGGTGGGAAGGGGGATAGCCAACAGTGTAGCTGGGGTTTCCATGGAGACAGCGGGAGAGGAAAAAATTCTCTCTGCATCAAGACCAAAGAACAAATATCTCCCATGAAATTGCCCCGAGTGTCCAATGGCTGTTGCTATGAGGTCATTGCGGCCAGTCAGGGCCCTGCAGGCTGGAAGGAGAGCGTTCTTTGGGGTCTGAGCCACCCAGGGCTTGGGGGACGGAGGTGATGTGGAATTCCCCCAGCTGTTCAGATTGAGGACTCTGAGGCCTCCCGAAGTGGCTGCAGAGCTCTTGTTTTTCTTGGAGCCTTAATTTGATTAACACTTCAGGGGCAGGGGCACAGTGTACAGAAACCGGGGCACCACCACCTCCTCCCACTGCCGCCCTGCAGACCAGCCCCTGGAGTGGGGCACAGAGCTCAGAGCCGAGGAGGAGAGCTGATTTAGACTTGGGGGAGCCTGGGGTCCCTGCAGCTGACCCTTGAAAGCATTGGTTCAGAGCCAGGGTCTCCACGGTAAGTGTGAGCATGAGGAAGAGCAGAGTCTGACCTGCCCGGCACGGAGGGCTATGAAAAGGCAGAGAGAGAAGTGGCAATTCCAGGGTCTGATCCAGGCCTTCAGGGAAGAGAACATCCTCAGTAGAAAGTACTTCAAGAGCGTCTAGTGTTTGGGCTCAATTTACAGATGGGAAAACTGAGGCCCAAGGAGGGGAAGCTACTTGCCCAAACTCAGAGCTAAGAACTGAATCTAGGTGCTCTGACTCTAGGCAGTGACATACCCCCATCCCTGGAGCTGTCCCAAAGTTAAGCCAGTGTGGCACAGGTGGTGTCACCACCCACCCTCAGCCCAAAATCCTAGCCAGGGTGGCAACCCCAGCTTTGGGTCACGCAAACCATGGGGAATTCCAACAGCTCACTTCTCTTGTGCTGGCGCCGTGGGGGGTGGGGTGAGGAGGGCGGCCTAGAGGGAGAAGCAAGGTTGGCAAACCTGTTCTCTGTGACGGTGATGGTTCAGGTTGCCACGGAGCAGTCTCTGGATGACCCCGCTCACTCCTGCTCCACCCTGGGCTTCGAGCCAAGGGTCTCTGCTCAGCCCAAGGCAGTCGTAGGAACAGGGACTCCCAGGACCCTTCCCAACCAGAGAGGCCGTGATGGAGAAGAGATCTCTGGGCACATCCAAGACTGGGTCATTTGCCTTGTATTCATCACTCTCCATCCCCAGGCCAGAGACTGAACCAGCTCTTGGGTAAACCAGTGTCACAGCCTGGTCTTCAAGGAGCTTGGGGTCTATGGAGAAAGACAAGATAAAAGCAAAACCACAAATGGGTGGGGCGGTGTACATGCTGCTGCTATCAGAGGAAAGAGTTAAGTGTGAGCTAGAGCAGTCACAGAGGGGGCATTTGGCCTGGAGGATGTAGAATCATGACAAAAAGAATAATTACAATAGCTCGCACTGACAACATCTGACTCCCATTTCGCAGATGAGAAGATTGGGGATCACAAAGACAATCGTCCAAAGTCACCTAGTAAATGGCAGAAAGATCTGACCCAAAAGCTGCCTCTAGAAGGAAAAGCTTCAGGCAGGCAGGTATGCTGGCTGGCACTGTGTCTTTTCAAGTGTGAGCCACACTGGAGGTCTGGCCCCGGGAGGATGGCTGGCAGCACTCTCAGAGGGGCAAGGCCTGGCTATCCATTCCCCTTCTAGTACCTAGAGTCAGGCTTTAGTCCAGGGATGGCTGGTTGGCCGGTTGCAAGAGCCGGTGCTGTCTGTTGTCTCAGAAGGGCGGGTGGCCTGGCAGGCAGGCCAGGTGTCCCGCTGCGTGCAGCTGTTGGACAGGACGGAGCCTGGAGCTGGGAGGGCTCCGCAGCCTGAGGCCTGGGCAAGCCCAGAGAAGCTGGAAGCTGTTGATTAGACTTGTGTCTGGCACCCAGAGTGAGTTGACAGCTTGTGGCAGCTCCCACCACCAAGGCAGGGATGGATGGGTGGATAAAAACAGTCCATCAGTGGAAGGCCTGGACTCTGCTACAGACTTGGGCTCCGAACTGTCTCTGAATGTTCCCCCTGGCACTGGGGCTGTACGGGGAGTCAGGAGACTGGGGTTCCAGCCCCTGCTCTGTCCCACATGTTGGACGGCCTTGGTTGGGTCTCTTCCATGTTCTGGGCCATGGTCCTCAACAGATTGCTCTGAACCCCAAATGGAAATACTGAGAAGAGTAAGGGAACAGATAAGCTAAGGTTTCACCGCTGTGGATTTCCTGGGGGGAGGCAGTGGTACATGGAGCAGGGGTCCCAGCAGAGGCCCACTGGGCAAGGGCAGGGAGCCTGTGCTGCTCTCAAAGACAGCCTGGCAGAGAGGCTAAGAACTGGATCTCCAGGATGACAGTCCACGGTTCCTTCCCAATTCTTCCACTGACCAGATGAGTGACCTTGGATAGCTTAGTTAACCTCTCTGAACTTCAGGCTCCTCATCTGTAAAATGATACACGCCCTTTTTGGGTTGTGAGGCCTCACACGCATGTAGCATCTGAGCACAGTGCCAGGCACACCAAGGGAAATGGCAGCCATGGCTGCTGCTGGAAGCTGAGGGCTCCTGTCAGTGAGATAGGGGAGTCATGTCCTTGTTTACAGGGATGATGGAGAGAACAAGCCTTCGGGCTGCTGCTGCTCCCAAACCGTCTTTACCCCAAACTGTTCTGTCCGGATCCTGTGAACCTACACAGGCCACACAGGTAGGATCCCTAGGCTGCCACCTCCTTATTCTTTAACCAGGGCCCCTACGAGAGCTTCATAGAGCCAGGGAGGCCCAGCCTGGCTCACAGGCAAATCCTGCTGGCCTGAGGAGTTGTTGCTGGGAGAGCCCGTCGATGCCACCGGGAGGAGGCATCACATTCCTCACTGGATCTGACTTCCCACGGGTATGTGTCTCCCGGCCAAGCTCCTGTGCGCCTGGTCACCCAGCAGGGTACGTAACTCCCTTGGCCTTGGGCAGGGTGAGGCCTGGCACTCTGGGTGCAGCTCACTGGGCCAGGTGTACACAGA